AGTAACAGAATATCTTAAAGTTAATGAACCGAAAAAATCAATTTTACCACGGTTGCCACTCACTAGAAGACCAAGGAATAAAATATTATATGGATCAACATTAGGAAGTATTAGTGAAATACCAAAGATTAATAAAAATAAAAAAGAAAAAAAGCCAAGAAAAGATTGTGTTTGTGGACTTGATACTTTAAAAGAAGAGACAAGAATTAAAATTTTAATGTTGTTAAAAAATATCACTAAATGTAATGATCATCAATTAGCTCAAATCATTGAATTTTCTAATCGTCTTGTTAGTGTTAATAATGGGATTATTACTAATGATCATTTATTAACACAAGAAGAGCATCAGATAGATACAGTAGATTTAGAACAACAAATGCCTCCAATGATTGAAACACATCCTGATATTCATAACGAATCTCAAAAAGACAAAGCTGATCAAATTTCACATCCACTCAATTAATTTTTTTGTTCACTGAATATTTAATGTTTTGTTGTTTGAAACTTAATAACTATTTTTTTTTTTAATTTTATATTTCCTCTTTTTGTTTTATTTCATCATAAAAAACAACTTCATCCATTTTTGACTGTTCATTTCTTTTCTCGTTTTTACATTGATCTTTTATATTATTACATTGATTTGTTTCTTCTTTTGTATTAGTCGTTGTTATTTGAGTTTCTTCTTTAGGCTGTTGTATAGATGAAGATAAACAAGGTTCTGAATGATGTTCAATGTGTTGAATTAATTCATTTGTTTGTTGAAATGAATCAATGTCTATATGAATTACTACTGATTTATTTTGATTTATAAGTTGTTCCCATAATTTTCTTCGTTCAAAGAATACATCAGGTAAGCAAATAATTCTTTTTAATAAAGAGTGTTCTGAGTCATATTTTTTAAGATGGGTGTAGTGTAATGCGTTGTAACTCATTTTAAATAAATATTTAATGTATTGCCATCTAAATGAAGTGATGCTTACATCATTTGAAAGATCACATGGGTCTTCAATTGATAAATTAGAAATCTTAGAATCCCAATTTCTTTCACTTCTATTAAACTTTCCTTCAAATACACTTAAACCTTCTATATCACTTCTAAAATCAATTCCATAATATTTTAAGAATCCCTTTAATAATTCTCCATAGTCATGTGTTGTAATAATATTATTATTAATATAACAATACACCATTACAAATACTGAATATGTTCCAAGACCTCCATTAGCTGGTTGATGGAAATCATAACAACAAAGTAATGATTTAATAAGAAGTACTAATTTTCTAATTCTGTCATCCTTTTTTATAACTTCTTCAATAAAATTTACTGTTTTTGTTCCATTAGTATTATTATGTGATATGTCTAATACAATTAATGTTTTTTTATCTGTAAGTTTTAAAACTGGAATTGATGCTTTAAAATTTCTTTTTTGGTCTTCAAGGACATAAGATGAAAGAATAGATGAGACTGAATTTAATACTTTTCTTGTATTATATTCATTTGTTATAACTGAAAAATCTATATCACTTGTTGGTAAAAACAATTTTGATTGTGTTGACCCAAATGCCATTACATTGTAACCCTCTTTTTCAAGTATTTTTGAGTATTTTGTTAAAAGTTCTTCTCTTATTTTATATTCATTTTTATTTGGTTCAATAAATTTAATAAATAATTGAACTTCTTGATTTAGATCTAATTCTCCTTCAAAGGATTTTAGCCATTGAGGAACGTTCATTAAAGAATTATTGGATGAAAATGTCTTTAGTTTTTACATATTTATTTTTCGTTTATAAAACAAAATTAAAACTTAAAATAAAAACTTAAAACAAAGAATAAATCTCTTAGAATGATTGCGTTATATCTCATTATATTCGTAGGTGTTCATGCTCAATTTCCTCATATAAAATATAATATTGAATGGGAGAATCGATGTTATAAGGTTTGTTTTTTAAATTAACTATTTTACTAATCAACAAAAAACAAAAGATAAGTTCTGTAAAGTTCTGTAAGAAAAAAAGTATTAACATATTTGTAGCTCCCACCTGGAGTATTATATAATGTTACGATGAATGGTAAAAAGTTTGTTTTTTGTAATTGATATTAAATATTGTATTAAAATAAATGAAAAGGTTTATAAAATAGATATCAATGTAGCATCCCTGAACCTAAAAATCAAACTATGTCAAATGAAGAACAATTAATAAAACTAGAAAGTGAATTAACAAATTGTTATTCATATAATAATGGGTATTATGTATATGTTCTTTGTCCAGGAAAAAATGTTACTCAAACTAGAGTATTGAATGGATTTACTTTAGAACGAAATATCCTTGGACAAAGAGTCGATTTTATTAACTTTGATAATAATTCAATTCAAGAAGGATATGTTGATGGAAATTATTGTTTAGGAAACAAAGGAAATAGAAAAACTGTTGTTGAATATAACTGTTTAATAGAGAATGTTACAGCACCAATGGTAATAAGTATAAGTGAAGTGGATTGTATGTATTATATTAAATGGCAAATTCCAGCATTATGTAAACATCAGGTATTTGTTGATTGGAATTTACCAAATTCTATTAGGTGTTGTGCTGATGTTATTCAAGAAAGTGAGACAATTAGAAAAGAAATACAGGAAAATGAAGTACAAAAAAATACTGAAGTAATGAATAAAGAGATAAAACAGTTAATAAAATAAAAAGTTAAACAATTAAATAATTAAAGGTTCTTTTTAATTAAATTAATTTTTTTTCATTTAGATGAAGAGTAGATAAAAGATGAAATAAAGAAGGATTAGGAGAGTTTTCAATCAGAGACAAAAAGTCATTACACAAATCTTCAATATTTGCTTTATCTTTATTGGGAAGTAATTGACGTTGCACTACTATTCTTCGTTTAAATTCACATTGTTCACATTCACAATCATCATCATGACCTTCGTCATCATCATCTCCTTCTCGGTATAAAGGGTTCATATATTTTAATTCTCTTGTTTGTTCAATTAATCTTTCTTGTTTTTCTAAGTGGTGAAGTTTTTTCAATTCATCACCATAGAAATAAAGCGATTGAAGAAGATGAAGAATTGAACTTTTAAAATAAGAGAGTTGAGAAGGATGGACGTTATTTAATTGTGAAATGTTAAAGTAATATTCAATAGAATTTATAGTCATTGTAAAGAAATAAGATAAGTTTTCATAGAAGTATAATACAAGGAACATTCCAATACAAATATATTGATTGTCAATTGAATAGAATTGATTTGAATTGAAACAAAGATATTCAATCAAATAGTAAAAACAAAACACATTAATTGATTCCATTAATGTGTATTTAACTGATTTATCAAAGTTATTATTAATATTAAAGATTATATAACTTTTAATTTCTTCTTTTGAACAATGTTCAATAAATTGTTTTCCAATCAGTAATGTTTTTTGTTCTTCAATCCCACAAAATGAAATTGCCATATAATCACTTACATAAATATTTTTTAAAGAGATATGATATTCTTTACATGTCTCTTCAATCATTGATTTAATCTCTTCATTTTCTAGTTGTTGATTAGATTGTTGTGGAAGGACAATATGAATTAAAATGATATTTGTAATAAAGTAATAACAACAGTTGATTATTGTTAATAAAATATACATTCCATGGAAAGAAAAATAATATAATATAAATAAAATACAAATATTGGTAATGATATTTAAACTAAATTTCCCAAAGTAACTTGCAATTTGAGTTACCATTGGTTCTTTGTAGTTATTAACATACTTGACTAGTACTCTTGTAAACAAAACAGGAAGTCCAATAACAAAATTAATAAAAGACATCACTACAATAAAAACGTGATTAGTTAATAAATCATTTTCAAACTTTACTTTTTTAAAAATAAACCCAATAAATGGGGTTATAATCACACCAAATGTAATAATGAGATAATAAATCTGAATCCAAAATTCACTACGTAAAATTCTTTCTTTATTTTCAGTCATTCTTTTTATTTCTTTTTCTTTCATAAATAATGTACTTTCCTTTTGTATTTGAAGATTTTTATACCACTTAAATCCAAAAATTGTTTTAATTATTTGACAAAAACACCCTCCAATTCCTATTGAATAAATATAATTATTTATTTTATTACTGAAAATTTACCAAACCAATGACATAAATGATGAGGTCACAAAGCCTTATCTCCATTATTTGATTTTTTTAGTACTATCCTTTTTTATTCTTTCAAAAAATAATTCCTTTTGATTTTTACATCAACTTTTTATATTCATATCTACGCTAATGAATGGTTTATTTTTCTTGCAAACTATTGTTTCAATAAGTTCAATAAAACATGAATAATAA